ATTATATATTACATATAACATTTCTTAATAACAATATGTTCTAGTCAATATTCATTTATAAATATCTGTTCACATTACAAAGTTGCTAAAATTCTTGTAAACCCAACACATCCTGCTACAACAGTCTGCCCAATACCCCAAAATAATGCATACAATGGTGGCAGTGGATATCGAGATGCTCTGTATACAAAAGCAACAGCAGCTGAGCTAAGAACTCCTGATGTTAATGGTAATAATACACCCATTATTATTATCAGCAATGGGAAGAATCTTTAAATCAAAATTTATCTAGTTATTTTACATTCTAAAAGGATTATACACATGAAAATGTCTAATGTCTTCTACATTTCATTCATAGTGTTGTACTTATTTAATCACTGTTTTTTTTTTTCCAAACTACTATCACTTGTATATTTATCAATTTAATGCATTTATATGATTCATTATGTACAATAGATGAATTTGTACGTACTTTCCATATTTATGTTGCCTTAATGTAGCAAAACAAATTGCACCAGCTATAGTATGAACAAAAATGGAAGAAAATAGTGCCCATAAAAATATTTGATACCACATTTCTGGAAAATTTTATAAATACCAAAGAAAACTTTCAAATGTTTATGAATAAATTCTACATAATTATAAAGAGTAATTACTTTTATAAATATGTACATACCAGCAAATGAAGTCAAAGGTGTATAAAAAACATTGCCTGTATTCATATTTCTTAAATTAACTGGTGGTCGCAAAACAGAAGTGTCTGTTTGTGCTTCCATCGTAACTATTTCAAAAATATCTTAAGCTATATTTTTTATACCACATTAAAAAGTTATTAAATAATTTCAATCGTATATGTATGCATAACTTTAATTGGAAACGTTTTTTCAGAAGATAACATTTTATGCATGGTGACAATCACATCTAAGAATTATTAAACCCTGTAATGGTATGAAACGTTTAGTATAACCTATCAAATCTTTTAATTTTATTTCGTACTTTTAGCGAGATACAAACATAACTCTTTAATAAAGAACTTTATGATTTACCGTAAATCAAAGGCAAAAAGTGATAAGAAATTGTATAAATTTCAACTTACACTTTCATTCTAAATTGTTTATGTATATATACGTCATATCACAGACAAATTTTCATACTGATAAATGTTAATACAATATCTAATA